GTCCAGTTTTGGATAAGTTAGCAGCTTGTTGACATAATATGACATGCGAAACTATATTTTTGCGCTTAATATAATCTTTCATAATGCCAGCAGTTTCATGGAATTCACTGCGTTGTTAAATTGGTGTTTATGAAGTCACAACTTCATGGTGTGTTTTACCTCTCGGGTGGGTGCTGCATTTCGTATCGTTTTTATAAGTAAGGTTTTTAGCATGTTTATGAGGTCATATATCTACTAAGAATATTCCCGCTTGTAACACCCTTGAAATATAAACATACAGCAGTGAAAGCTTTAGAACCGAATCAGCTCTTAATAAGAACCACTCAGAATCTTTCGGAAGGGGTTCAGTAAACAAAATATTAACGGCAGCTTATAAAAATTCTTTCTTGAATCTTCCATTTTCAGGGTCGGGTCGTAAAGAAGAAACAGGACTTGCACCGGCAGTGCGAAACGAACCGTGCGTATGCTCATTACCGTTGGTCGTGAGCTGTTTCGGTTGGTGGGTTGGTGCTTCAGATTCATCGCCGAATATAAATCTTTGTTATCGTTGATTTGCGCTACTGAACCATGAAAACGATGCTTAGGATCCAGCAAAGGCCTTCGAGTAGCTGTGCGACTTAGTGCCAGTCGGTAACAGTTTTTTGTTCCCGAATATTGATAATGTTCTAAGTTTGTGAATGTAATTAATAATTAAGCAAATAATTAAAATTACGAACGGTCGTTGGTTAGTCTTTGATATTTCCGTCGTCGTTTATCTATTGGATTTTGGCTTATATGCTAACATGCCAGTTCGAATTATGATAATGAAGTCAGTCGTTAGTCATAAAGCCATACAGTGAACTACACGTGAGACAAGGAAATATGCTAGCACGCAGTAGTGTTATAGAGATAACGATGTCGTCGCGATGAATGCTCAGTGACAGTTTCGCCGTTGCGACTCTTTGAGATGTCCAATTCAATTTATTTAATGTCCTCTGGCGAACAAGTGAAGCTGCTACTGGTCAGAAATCAATATAATTGTCAGGAGTTATGAATATGCTAATTCAAGATGATTGTTGTAATGTTCGTCGACAAACTCTTCTATGAATCACGTTGAATATAATTTGACTGTAATGACGCCACTACAAATTCCCTTCGGTAAAGCGCATGAAGAACAAGACATTTGTGTACAGCGGCGTATACAAAGAAACAGCAAGATCAGTGAACATAATGACTGGCTTTACTGCATGGGGCATGAGTTGACGGAAAATCGACGCAAACTCATGTTCAGGGTTCAGTAAGCATTTGACGACGAAAGGTTGAACCGATCGTTTGTAAAGTTCTTTATGGCAGACAGGTCTGAATTGGTTCATGACTGACTGTAGTTTAGACAGAAGAAGTTACTAGTGCACCGTGATGTTTTGGATTCTTCAGTAGCTTTTCGCTGAGTAACACCGCAGATTCAATCACTTTTCTAGCATTAGTGCCTATCTCTTCCTTCAAACTTTGATTACCTAGCAAAGCCGTCATTTTGATGGCAGCTCTCTGCGGCATTGACCACTCCTGGGTCAGGTTAGGCAGGTAAATTGGTGCCGTATGTTGTATTTGAGGCTATGCGCATGTCTTCGTGAAAGAACGCACAACTTTTAATGGTACCTGAACTTGTCTGAACCGTTGGAGAAACGAGGCAATTTTGCGCACTTTTTCGACTGCGCTTACAACCTCTTTTTCCGCTGCATGCTGCCCTCCAACTTAACTCCGAGGTATTTGACCTCTGGTTTCCTGCAGAACACGTCGCTACTCATGACTACTGGATGAAACTTGACGTAAGGCGGTGCTACGAAACACCGTATCTTTTGATTTAGATGGATTCAGTTTAAGTCTAGCTGTGTTGACTCAACTAGAGACATTATGAATGTTATTACTCTACCATGGTCTTCATAATGTTTGACGGGTTTGAGCAGAGATATCATCAACGTATTTTGTGCAAGTAGTTCCTAACTGGCTTCAGCAGTTGTTGGTATAAAAAGCAAACAAGGAATGCGACACTTCTGAGCCTTGCGGCAATCTAATTTTTCAGTCAAGTAACATTTCCAGCTCAACCTGAATCGCCCTGCTAGGAGGCACTGTGTAATGTCGCGCTTAAATGTATCGTTAGCGCCGTAAAACGTTGAGGATTCACTGCGGCATCCGTCAAACGATCCCATATCATCGTGCCAAACTAAAGTCCGTAAATGCCAATGGTACTATCGTATAACCTTTGTCTAGATTATTGGCAGTCAAGTTAATTAGGATGCAGAGCATCAGTCTGCTTCGACATCGAGTTTTTTTCTGTATTCTCGTCCGTGATCAACGATCCATATGAATGTGAACGGGATTACGGATTTTTTAAACCTGCTGGTATATACTTTGAACTAATGACGGATATGACGAATACTTCGAATTCTAAAGAAATATGCCGCAGATGGCGCGACGTGCAGCTGTCGGTCAGCGGCACCACGAAAGAAAGAAAAAATGTAAAATGAAAGATTCACAAAGTGAGGCATAGAGAAAATCAGGTAGCCATAATTTATCATTCCACTGTAAGAGAAAAAGCGATTAAAATTTCCGCAGACGATGAAGCTCGATTAGACAATTCCAACAAGCTGTGTGCTTAGAGACTTATTTCGTCCAAGGAAGTCGTAAACGAACATAGAGAAATTTAGCTTTATTCTAAACTGTTTAAAACGCTACGAGCGTAGTTTACATCCAGGCTACACATCCAAAATATATACAATATACATACGATACACTTTCTTACAAGCTATGATCATTTCTATGCAACGGCGTTACATCTGAAACCTGCTGGGGCCAAGTTACACAGCGGCAGCGACGACGAACATGCGTTGCTTGTTTTGCTCGTGGCAGTGTCTGGCTGCCAGGTTATTTTTAGCTTCAGGTAAGTGAACATCACCAAGGTCGCAGTTGGTAGCCGGAACGCGAGCCTTCCAATACGTGGATCGACGACTCTCAACGGCAAAACGCTGCGCGTAAAACTTCAACAACTTCTTTCGTTTATCGACAACGCTATTAGAGTCGACGAGAAAACAACGTCTGACCAGGCGTATGAATATTTTGCTTATTCGGAACTTGCTTAAAATATTTAAAAAAAGAAATTAGATAGTACATTTATACAGTAATAGATAACGTTAAGATGAAAAATAAAATTTACAAAATATGTACTTTCATGACCGATATGCACCTATATATTCATAATTCATAGCTACTCCCGTCATACTAAGTGTTTAAAGGCAATTAAGACCAGTTACTAACATCAGATATATGCAACTGACGTTTCATTCTCAATCTCGTTAGTTTTCTTCAGAAGATCGCCGAACAGTTGAGTGTTAAAGTAATACTAACCGGACTTGGTAAAGAATTTTATGCTAAAAAATAAACCTTTCCGGGAAAGAGATGGCATCTGAATATAAATGCCCTAACAAACGACTGCGATACACCAACACTGTTAGTCATTGAAGAAAAGTGAAAGTTACGCCATCTAATGGGGTAGGTCAAACAAAGTTTGGATAACGTGTGGCCATCTGCTTTGAAACAAAGAAGCTAACGAAATAATACCAGACTTACATTCGAATCCAGGTCCTTAAACTAGAGTACGAAAGACAGCGCTGGCAACGCATTTAATTTTCAGGTTTTTTTCTGTACAGTCATTGTTATCTGGAGAGCGACAGCTTAACAGCTCTATCTCAGATCATAGTTTTCGTCGTTCACCATAACTGAATCTAGACACTAGGTCAGCTCCCTCAACGGTCGTACCTTTATGTTTAATCTTGAGGGAGTCGATTATGGCTGTTGTCCTTATTACAGCTTATATCGGTTTGATTTATAGCCTAACCTCTTCTACCATCTTGCACACAACGGCAGAGTAAGGATTTACAGACCATCACCGGAGTCGCACACCAGAATAACGTCTTCTGCATACTGGAAGTCGGCCAGGTATCCCGCGGGGTACGTTGAAATTCTATTTGGTTGGATGGCAGTCTTCTGTCTCGCTTTGCATGAGGTCGTCAACCACAATGGGGAACACCATCACATTAAGGTAGTAACCTATTGATGTCTTTGCCCCTAGGCCATTAGTTATACGTAACTTATTATCATTATAGTTTGCTTCAGTCTTTCTACTAGTCATTGTATTAAAAACTATTCATATTTGGGATTCCGTTCGACTGTATGTAGAAAAAGAAAATCTTGCTGTCAGGTTTCAAAATGAATTAAGGTTATGAAAGGTTCTTACGTAAAGTTCTCTACGTTTTTAAATTAATTTTTTTTTAAAATTTCAGTTCGCAGATTGTACTGATTATAATTAGTCAGCTGTCAGTTAGGTCAGGGCGAACTGCAGCCAGCAAGCCACACATGAGAGAGCATGGCATATATTTCGAGCGCTTCGGCAGCACCGTCTATTCCTATTATTCACAGGTCAATGATCTATTACCTGTTTTTCGGTTGGTTGCAACGAGGCATAGTGAGGTCTTTGCTGAATGGAATTAGCAGTTGATAAAAGAAAATTTAGGCCCAGGGTGGAGTTTCAGCCCGTAAAGCAAACTATTAGCAGAGTGCGCTCCTGCCCAGTAATCATAAAAACCGTTAGAGTCAAGTCCCTCTCTGGGTCACTCGTCCTTGTTCTTTTCGAGGTTGATAAAGGAGTACCACGTCGTGAGAAGGAAACAGGACACCACATGCTACGCTTGCCAAGTGGCTCTGAATTCTACGAAAGAAAGGCATCGAAGACCTAGTCACGAAAACGAAGGAAAACCTGTATTTCTGACAGTGACAAACGTTTCCTTCCTTAATCATATATCATAACTCAAGTGCACCTCAGAAAACGAAACAAGATTACGTAGCATTACATTAGTGCTACACTCATGAGACGAAAGATCACCAGGTGGATTTACGGCATGTTAAAATAGTTGATGCGAAGTGACCGCGTGTGTTACGCTGTAAACGTTTTCGTTCATATATAGTAAATAACAGAAAAATGCTAGTGTAGCTCAGACGTGATGCTTACCAGTAAGGTCTGATGGGCTGGCGACGAAGACCGTGTTTTGACCGAAGGTGAACGCGGAATCGCACGCCCGAGCTAGTTCTGTAGGTGCATTTTGAACACAGAAACCTTTTCAAAAAGAAATGATGACTAGCGTGTTTCCTCAGCACTTCAAACACCTCACTTTTCATACATCCGACCGATTTGCCGCACACTCGACATGGGATGTTTCTGCGACAGCTATCTGCAACGGGCGCAAAACCATGGTTAGCGCATCGTAACGATCAGGTCTGAGTTGGAATCGCTTACTGTCAGGGGTGTTCCCCCGGAACGATGGTCGTTTTTCAGGGTCTTCGTTGTACAGGTGCTGGTCATCGTCATCGTTGTCGTTGGCCAATTTCATGCAAGATGCGGCAGAATGGAACCTGCCGTTGCTGGCGGTACCGTCATCAGTGATCACCTCACCCCC